CATACTGTGATCATGAGTACTTGGCCAAAAAAAGTAATGGTCAAAAATCATTATTGAATTATCTGGCTTAAAGATTTTTTATTTATATTCATGAGTTTTGAAGAACAGTATTGTTTCAAAAAACTTTCTGCCATTTTACACCAATTTGCATTGGTCAATCCCAGAAAATTAGTCAAATTTCCACCAAAATTAGCTCAGATCATCTTCATCACATGCTTAATGTTTATGCTTTTGGCCTTTGGTGCAGCTGTCTTTAAAACTGTCATAACATTTAACAAATAACCCACAAATCTTCTCAAGATTTGAAGGCCTAAGTATTAACCAATGTTTCTGGCTCTGTAATTGCTGCTTGCATCAAAAAGTACTACATTTGAACCTTTATCAGTTAGTATATGGACTACAGATTTGAAATGAACTGACCTGGTGTCGACTTGACCTGTTTTTTCTTGTAAATGTGATATACGGTGATGAACAGCAGAAACAGGATCAGCGCAACACAGCCCAAAGCAATCAGAGAGACATGTAAGACTATAGAAGAAAGAAACACGAGGTCATTTAAATCAAACTCTAAAACTACTTTGAAAAGTTCATTCATACCAACTGCAACAGCAACAGGAATAACAACTCCATGCAATTAGTAGCATAGTACATTAGTTCATAAAACATTTAACTACAGAAGAGCCTGCAGATCTCTCAAAGTCATCATTATTAGGTTTATTTGTAATTTGCATTCGCTGTTGCTCAACACGCACACATTGATAAAGGTAATACTACATGGGTGAGATTCATACCAGCTAATGAATCCTTTTCTACTGTTGAGGTCACAGATGCGGTAGTTGGTCCTGTAATAAAACATTGTTGCAGAATCACCTGTTTTCTCTCTCAATATAAACTGCTGCATAGATTATTAATTATTTTGAAGAATTAAGTGGCCAATTACGAGAATCAATTTGTTTGAATCTCATGAAACCTGTCTAGGACACGCCCAGGTCACATTTCAGTTCAAAATCTGACTAACTGTACTAACTGTAATTAGTAATATTTTGCAATCATGTTTCATTGAATGTTTTTAGGGGAATTAAACCATTTTGCACATATGATGAAAATGTAAAAAGGGGAAAAATATGAAGTATCACTGTAAATAATAACAATTACAAAAAAGTAAATTCTAGAACATTACAATAAAGAAACTTTAGGGAGTAGAAATGTTTATAATTTTCAAAATGCAAATAAAATGAATGGTTGTAAAATAGCCCTCATTTTCTTCATGCAAAATATAATTTCTTTTGCTTTTAGGGTGAATTTTTTTTTAAAGAATCAACTAAAGTCCTAGAGGAGATAAAACCATCACAGTCCGTCAAAATACGCATCAGAAATATTGCACTCTGGCATAAGAGGATTTTGTGGTGAAATGTGACTTGGACATGTTCTTGACAGGTTTTGTGAGATTCGCTCATCTTCATTACTCTTGTTGCTGTCGCTGTGGTTTTTATAAATATGTGGACATTCATGTATTAAAAGCTCACCAGGACAGGGTTGGACACTAACAGTCTTCTGTCTGTGACTGACGTGGTTCTTCACACTGCAGCTGATGTTTCCATCAGTTCCCTCATCCAGATCAATGCTGGCGTTTCCATCCATCAGTGGACCTCCATTCAGAGTCCAGCTGTAGAGGATCTGATCGCCCTCAGAGGAGCAGAAAACCCTCATCGCCCCACTGGAGGAGCAGCTGATTGACACTTCCACTGAGCCAATAGGAGCTGGAGGGAGGGACACGTGACCATCACACAACTCCTTCTCGACTCAGTATAAGTCAATGTCAAGACATTTCTAAACAAAATGTATTGCTGAGGTGAAAGCTGGACTGAATTAAACATGCAGCATAGGTTCCCTTTCAGTTAGTCACGTTCGACGTTACGTCAGTGACTGACAAATTGGGATCCTCGCTAGAGAGACCAATTACCTTAGAGTGTTAACAAAACAAGCCAATAAGTGTTGGCGTGCGATCTTTGCGTCGCGCACACCGCCCCGCAGCGCGGGTATATAAGGAGAGTGCCTGCAGTCGTACATTCAGCTTTTCACTTCGGAGCCGAGCATTTCAGTTGGTCTGGTTAACGAGCAAGTGTCTACAAGACAGCATCCGACAGTGTTGGTGTTACGGCGTGTCAGCGGGGGTTGCTGGTCCAGTGCTACTGTTGGTGTGGACGGCGTGCTGCAGCTCTTCAAACTGCAGTCGCGCTGCGACCTCTCCTGGGCGCTTCAACACTTTATTTCCTAAAAGAGCAAATCTAAAAGAGCACCACGAGTGACGTGGCGTCTTTTTAAAGATGGCCTTCCACTCATGTGTTTCTGGGTGTGATCGCTTCCTGGCTCCATCTGATGGTCACGATCGCTGCATCTCATGCCTGGGCATTGAGCACGCTGAGGCAGCGCTCGTGGATGACTGATGTTCTCATTGTGGGGACATGACCATCGCGATGTTGCGATCGAGGCTCCTCTTCATTAAACGAGGAGGAGTTCCCCTCCCCATGCCCCGTTCTAGTTCCTCCCAGCAGCAGACTACTTCGGCGTGTGGCCAGGGCGATTTGAGGATTACAATGAGGGCTTCCCCATCGAGTGCGTCTCCACGGGCCCCTCACTCCTCCAGCACATCGCACCCTCTGGTGTTCTGCGATGAGGTGACTGAGTCCTCGGACAGGGCGGGGTCTAGCATCTCATTCGGGCCTCCAGGGGCATTCGGTTCACCTCTGTGCCGAACAAGGATGCTCCCATCTTGCGAGCGGAAATCGCAGTCCTGCTGGCGAAGGACGCGATAGAGCCAGCCGATATGAAGTCGGGGTTTTACAGCCCCTACTTCATTGTACCCAAGAAAGGCGGTGGGTTACGACCAATCCTGGACCTGCACGTTCTGAACCGAGCCCTTCACAGGTTGCTGTACCACCGCTGTATGGCCGAGGCACACTGTCTCGGCTCCTCAGCGAAAAACTGAATGTGCGACTTCAAGCACTCTCCTTATATACCCGCGCTGTGGGGCGGGATGCGCGACACAAAGATCGCACGCCAACACTTATTGGTTTGTTTTGTTAACACTCGAAGGTGATTGGTATCTCTAGTGAGATCCCAATTCGTCAGTCACTGACGTAACGTCACCGTTCCCTCCTTCAGGGAACCAGGGTTACATACGTAACCGAGACAATTCCATCTAAAATATCTTAAAAGGATAGTTCACCCAAAATTAAAATTAACCCTATTATTTACTCACCCTCCAGCCATCCTAGGTGTATATGACTTCCTTCTTTCAGATGAATCCAGTTGGAGTTATATTAAAAATTGACTTTGATCTTCCAAGCTGTTTAATGGCACTCAGCGGGTGTTCACCAAAAGAAGTGAAATAAAGCGCATCCGGGGAATGAACAAAGGCCTCCTGTAGCGAATCGATGCGTTTTTGTAAGAAAAATATCCATATTACGATATCGTATATCGTATATACGATAAACGTAATAATCACTTTAATCTAGCTTGGGCCAACAGTTGTACATGGAAGCAGCTCTGGGAGGATGACGTAAGATGCCGGTGTTGCGCATGCCTGACCGTTGTTTTGTTTTGATCTCTCCCCTGTGCTTCCGCGTTCGTCACTTCTAAGCGGTGCATGCACAACGCCGACGTCCTACGTCATCCGCCCAGAGATGCTTCCATGTACAACAGTGAGCGCAAGCTAGATTAAATTATTACGTTTTAAATATGGTTATTTTTCTTACAAAAACGCATCGATTCACTACAGGAGGCCTTTGTTCACTCCCCCCCGAGCCGTGTGAGGCATTTTTTAAATTATGGATGAATGCGCTTTATTTCACTTCTTTTGGACTGATGCACTGCAACACCTGCTGACTGCCATTAAACAGCTTGGAAGATCAAAGACAATTTTTAATATAACTCCGACTGGATTCGTCTGAAAGAAGAAAGTCATATACGCCTAGGATGCCTTGAGGGTGAGTAATTCATGGGCTAATTTTCATTTTTGGGTGAACTAACCCTTCAATTTGTGTTCCGAAGATGAACGAAGGTCTTACGGGTTTGGAACAACATGAGGGTGAGTAATTAATTACATAATTTCCATTTTGGGTGAACTAACCCTTTAAACTCTGCAGGACAGTAGACCACGAGGACCAGAGTTGCTGCTGAACCTGACCACAGTGTTGTGCACACTAGTTGCTTCTTAATGGTGTTGAACTTCACCTACTCTGTCAATATCAGAGTAAGTCCAGAGAAACCTCAAAGAGTTCCTGAGTACTAGCATTACTAAAGACAGCATTACTCAAATCTTGATTAACTATAAATAATTAGACAGTATAATTGGTTCAATTATACTGAGGCGGTTCAGAAGATTGATGTGTTTGATGTGTTTATAAAGAACAGAAAGAAAGTTAAATGATCTAATCTTGGCATAGAACAGCAGCATGTTATTATACAAATCCACTGGAGTAAATTGCTTAAGTATTTGTCATGCATGACAAAAATGTGTGTAATATATCACAACAAAACAAAACATCTTCAATTATTGTTTATTTGAGAATTCTTTATTTGTGAAGTATAAGCATATACTATAGATGATATTAAAGTAAACAGACATGAAGTAAAAACCACAAAACCAATTCTGATTTTAAACCACATCACTCCATAAAACAGGGATGGGAGTGAAAATCATCTTTCATAATGGAGGAACTGTGGAAATATCAGTCATCCATAACAAAAGAGGTGGGCGGGTGTCAGAAATGTCAACAGAGCAAACAGAAAAGAAACAAATTTTCCCTCTAAATCAAGCTCTTTCACTCATATGGCTAGTAATGAACAACATTAGTGAGACGATTACCTGTGATTATCCAAAATGGCCTGGTTGCTACAGATGTGTTAAGGTTGTGGTATTCCAGAGCTGCAGAGGAAAGATAGTGAGAGGGAAGAGAAAGAAAGCAAGAGAAACTGTTGTAGAGAGGGAGAATAGATAAGAAAGCTTGTTTCCAAAGACATTGCTTTGATCCTGGGTCCAGAGGCTTAGCTGAGCACATCTACTCTCCAGCAGACAGTACAGAGAGTCTAGCCGCATTACCCAAATGAAACCTTTACTCAAATGCATACTGGCAGTGTGATTAAAGGCTCTGGCTGACATCCTGCCTTCAAGGCAGAATTGCTAAGCAGACTGTAAAATTTCAACAACTGTTGAATTACTTTACTCCACTAAGGTCTAATCTGAGGAACAGCAGTGTTTTGAACAGTATTTCATCATATATATATATATATATATATATATATAATCATATAATTTTATATTTATAAAATAATTGTTAATGTTTTGTCATGTCATTATTATTCATTTTAATCTATTTTGCTGAAACTATGACCAAAACTATTAAAAAACAAAACGAATGACGAAATTACCAAAAAACTATTTTTAAATTTTTAAATGTATTAACATCTGTTAATTTAAACATGTACCATACAAAATTTTGAACAAAATACAACATTTCTAGTTTAGTTCATTTTAAGCATTTTAGGCAGTTATTCAGCAGCAGGTAATCACTGTGCTGATATTCTAAACAACAGCACAATTGTAAGCCTCATATTGCTTTTATGCATCAGTTCAATAAATAAGAAGTTAAGATTTAGCAACTTATACAATTTTAGACATAATATTACCAGTTACTTTGTCTTTTTTGTTGTTGTTGTTGTTGCTCTGTCAACAAAAATAGTACCAAAAAAGCCTAATTAGGATCAACTGTTGCATGTCTCAGAGCAACACATAGTAGTAGTGTTTCAGTGTCCTGTATGAATAAGCGTTGTCAAATGAATCTGTTGGGTACTGTGACTCAATGACTCACTCATAAAATCTGAATATGCCCACTTTCCTACAATTTAGTATGTGAAAAGCAGTACTTGAAATGTGCATGAGCGATGTGATTGCTGTTGTTGGGCTGGATGTACTGTATGTCCAGAATTAAATTATTACACACATGCATACTTTCAAGAATGCACTTTTTTAAAAGTCTGAAAGTACATCCTTCAACAAATGTAGCACATACATACGGACACATTCAGAGTTAAGACAATGTAGGATGTGTACTCTCAGAAGAACAAAATTCACAGCAAAACTGATAACTTGTCACTAGGGCAGTACCCTCAAAAAGACATATATTTACCTCTTCAAAGGCTCATATTACTACTCTAAGGTACTAATATACACCTCTTAAGTTGTCCCTAGGGACAAGCGGTTGTACCCCTAAAGGTACAATTTTTACACGTTTCTTGATACTGAGATGCATTACAATGTATTCAGTTGTTCCCTTTCAGTCAGTCACGTTCGACGTTACGTCAGTCGTGACTGACGAATTGGGATCTCGCCCGAGAGCCCAATCACCTTCGAGTGTTTAACTAAACAAGCCAATGACAGTTGGCGTGCGTGTTTCGTCACGCGCACCCCGCCCCGCAGCGCGGGTATAAAAGGAGAGCGCGTGCAAACGCACATCAGCTTTTCGCTTCGGAGCCGAGCCTTCTACAGGACGAATCTCCGCGAGTGTTCTAGAGAAACAGCTGGCGTTGGTGTGACGGCGTATCAGCGGGGGTTGCCATCCAGGCTGCTGAAACCTCGGCGAGCTGCAGCTTCCATTCTGCGGT